CTATGGCCGTATGGTCGAAGGCGCAAGCAACACTAAAATCTACAAGTAGAAATACTTACGTTTTGGATTCCACCTTTCCGGGAACCCCTCGGGATTCGACACCAGGCGCTCCGTCCTGATGTAGAAATATTTACGCCAAAAGCGGCGGTTGGGCTTATCATCGGCTTTAACAACCAAGCCCTTTGCGCCACGACCTTTCAACTGCAGCATGGTACCCCTCAGGTAACCAGCGCTGAACAACTGTAAGAGGTGGTGGACCGAGACGCTGCACCCGGCCCTGGCCGCATAAGTGGTCATGATACGGCACACCTTCAAAGTATAGGGAGTGAGCTGGGCCGGACACACATTGTAAAAACGGCAAAGCTCCTCCACCAGAGGGTAGACTGGAAGGGCGTAACCGATCAAGAACAAGTACTCATAGAAGGTGCAATATCCAGGCCGGTGCACATTGGCATAATCCGTCCCGGCCGGAACCATTTCCACGTGGTCCGGAATATGGTGCGTCTCTCGCAGATCATCTAAATGGGATTGTAGTAAAACGCTGTGCTCCCAGGGAAGATCAGGGCTTTTAGTTTGAAAATCCCTGCGTACGTGCGTCTCCTTCGGAAGGACATTGTCTACGCTGAGAGGAACAAGGGCCTTCTCCGCCTTTTCCCCTTCACCACCGGAAGATGGCGGAACCCTAGACGGGGCATTATCTTTGGCCTTTTTATTATTCTGTCCGCGTTTTGTCATGATTATGCTACTTGAGAAATGAAGCACTGACGATAGGAAGTGTGGTTTCAACAGAAGTGGGAGAGTCCCTCACGAAATAACGGTTACAAAGAAGAAGGCAAAGGAGTATATCAGAAAATACTTTTCAGCGGCTTGAAAGTGGAATCAGATCAAACCTCTCTCATACTTTTAAGGATAAGTTGCACAGGAATCGAAGAGTCATGATTCAAAACGTGCGCCGGAAACCAAAACGTCACTTCATCCTCTGAACCGCCTCGGGGGCAAATATAATGATGATGCATACAGGCGATGACATTATTCCAAAAAGGAAGCCACGCGTCAGCGGCTCAACAACGTCATATGTTTCACTTCATTCATATTGCCGCCCCTGGTCGAGGTCAAATTCTCCTAAGCCGAGGTTCGTATTTCTGATATGAGATCGATGATCTCGATGAGATTGATATCCCAATCTTTCTTCTTAGAACGTATTGATTTGACCCCATAAGCGGGACCAAGCATGTTGCCGCCAGAAGCAGAACCCCGTATTTCTTCTAGAGAATCTCCTAATTGTTCCAGAGCAACTAGAAAGAGATTCTTTAACCAGAAAGAATTCGGTTCAGATGTAGGATACCTATCCAGAAGTTTTCGCAACTCAATCATAGATGATGGAATCATCAAAGATTTGACCTTTTCGAACTCTGTCTGTAACTCACTAGAGGCCCGGGAAACAAAGAGAAGATGTGTACGAACGAGATATCCAGCAACAAGAAGAAGGAAAAGGATTGAATAGAGGAACTCCCGAGCATTTGGCGATCTCAGATGTGTCGATATCAATGGTGACTCATTATTTCGATGAATCATTTCTTCGGACAGAAGAAGATTATGTAAACACTTACTCGAGATCTCANCTATATCTCTACCTCTAACGAAAATATCTTATTGGCAAACATTATCACTTTGCAATATCAGATCTACAACAATATTATCATCTTTGCATCTCTAGGCTTATTATATTTGATTACGATTTACCCCTTTTCTATTTTTGATTGTTTTATCGCTTACAAAGTATATCGTTAACTTTTGAGCCAAACAGACAATGAAACCATGACGATGATAATGACAATGACGATGATGATATAATCAACATCATCATCCCTGGAAAATTTTAGTATACTTTAATATTATTGCTTAACTGATTCCGTGAAAAATTATACTTTAACTTTCCGTTTATTTTCTTGAAATTTCCAAACAGAAGAAAATTGTATGTTTTTAACAATGAAAAATCCGATAAGAGGTTTAAAATTTAATTTTGTTAAAATTGAAAAGAATAGAATGTGGGCAAAAGCACCAAAAAAAAAGAAAAAATGGAAAAAAAAGAGAAATATGAACAAGAAAAGCAAGTGATTAATCAATTATATACTCGTCCAGTCGTCCTTACAGGTTAACCAATTGCCAACTGTAGGTCCATAATATAAAAAAGAACTGTACTAATTTTTAGAACTAAAAACGAGATACTCAAAGTCTTAATTCGAGCTGCAACAATGACCATTAATATTGTGATGAGATGGACATAGGGGCGGATCCACCCTTTACAATGGGGTGGCATGGCACCCGCTAAGATAATAAATTTTTTATATATCTATATTGGAATTTTCTTAAATTAGGTTAAATATCTGATCCTACCACCCGCGGCCGTAAATTAGATAAAGGTGTCATGGCTGGTAGATCTTTTTGAAAGCTTTTCTTGTGTGTAAAATTCAAGTTGGAAATTATCTTGAACCTTGTCTGACTTTCCCTTTTTGTGCGTTTTTATTTCTTTTTGTCCTAGTCATTTTCCTTTTCGGCTACCTCCCAATTTTCTATTTATCGTTTCATTATCTTTTGTATTTTTCTTTTCTTTGTTTTATTATTTATATGTGGCCTCTAACTAGAACACTCAACAAAGAGACTCCGAAATTATAAAATTCTATAAAATAAACATTTCTCTTAATCTCATATTTATGAGTTTTCTTCTTTCATATCCGAAAAATATTAGTCTTAATGGAAATTTCGGTTGAGATAAAAAAAAAATTCATCTTTTTTTTTATTATATCACAAAAATTTGTGTTATTCTATAGTTATTAAATATAATGTAAATCACTTTACTATTATATTATGACTAAAATTTCGTAAGCATTGCTTAAAAAATATGGGATTTATGATTTTGATTTTTGGGAACTAGTAGTTTATTTAATTATATATTTGTGGGGTATAATTTATCTATTGAAGATATTTTTAAAAAAAAACTCCTATTCTAATTGATGATGTTCTTATTGAAAATTTTTTATCTTACTTGTGTAAATTTATTTTAATACACAAAAAAAGATGTAATTTCCTAGTAAAAATGTTGATTTTACTTGTGTTGTTATAATAAAGGTATGGTTCCTTATTTAAAATGCTAATTACGTCTATTTTTTAATATCTGAGAAGTAATTTTGTATTTGCGCATTAAAAATACCTATTAAGTTGACCCGAATAAACTCAAAAAAACCGAATAAACATTCCTAACAAATTTCATATTAGTCATTACAAGGTATACATTAAAAGAAATTATAGCACCCGCCACCTTTAAATCCTAGATCCGCGCCTCTGAACATTATCCCTTTATTCTTAACTAGCGATAGTTTAAGCTCTGAAATTAAAAAAAAAAAAAAAGACCTAAGTAGGAAATGCTTTCCCTGATCTTATGCGATACAAATCCAAATTAATCAGGCCTCGACACCAAATAGGAAACAAAAAAGTAAGACCCACATGGACAAGCTCTAATACATGTTCCTCTTTTGTCGCTTACTATACACACACATAAATTATTCAGAACGTCCCCCACATTTTAATATTTTTTTACTAGGGAAGTTTCTATTAAATAACGGGGTATTTAAAATGACCAAAGACTAAAATATGATGTCAACCCCATTAGCTTTCCCTCCACACCTCGTCAATAATCTCTAAACTACTTCTAAAAGCTTCTTTGGCACACTTTAAGAATCAAAACAAACCTTTAATTAAATAGTTTCATTTCATCCCATTGTACTTCAAAATTCGAACACCCAATATCTTCTCCACCCTATGAACTTCTTGATGCAAAGTTCTTTATTTCCAAATTTTTTTTCTAGTTTAGCCATCCGTACTCGAAATTTATTGGCTTGACTAATCTGTATTTTTATCGGACAGGTTCACTAAGGGGTAAAACATTTTTTTACCAAAAAACTCTTTATTCTCAAGGCTGGAACCGAAATATCTGGTTAAGATTTTCAAGTCCATTGTTTCCAGGATTTTTAACCATGTTGAGTTCCACATGTGAGTTGATCATTATGGCTACTTCCAATTCTCATTTTATCTTTTGTTTCTGCAATTTTCTTAAAGCCATTCTCCTACTTGGTGGATTCCAACCTAGTTCAGAAGAAAACACCACCAATATTCTTGATCTTGACATGTCCAAGAGAAAAGAATCACTAGGCATTGCTAAGCCTAAAAGAGTTCAAAAAGGCATACATCTTGTCATCTTGATTATGAAGTTAGAAAAATGAACACCTATGTGTCACATCACAAGAAATGCATATATTTTCAGTTTCGAGTGACACATCGGTCATAGAAGTACTCGGGGATGTAAACCAAGGCAACATAAGTCACTACAACATAATGCATTTATAGCTACAAAACACAACGCAGCTAATTATGAAATTTTTCGTAGCTAAACACTTTAGCTACAATATTTTTTTCCGTAGCATTTGTAGCTAAATGTAGCGTAACTAAAAGTTAGCTACAAACTTTACATGGTCCGTGGCTAAGGATTAGTACTTTTTGCCACGACAAATACATTTATAGCAAATGATTGTATACTTTTGCCACGACAAATAAATCTGTAGCTATCTTTATATGGTAGCCACGAAGTGTGATAGCGTGACAAAAGTTTAAATTTATTTGCCACGAAAATTTTGATATGTAACTGTTTTCATATAGTAGCCCGTGGCAAAAATATTTTTGTTTAGCTACGGACTAAAAGTTCCATGGCTACAAATCATAGAAAAGAGTCGTGGGGTAGATTATTTTATTATATTTTAATTTTTTGACAAAAAAGTTAATTTATTATAGTGACAGAAGTTTCTCTCACAAATTCCCTGTTTCTTATCTATTTTATTTTTTCTAAAAATTTTCAATTATTTTGTGGCCGTGCATAATAATATTGAAACTAATAACATATTAAGTTTGAGTAATAACTTATTCTACACAAATTGGAATTTAAAATATTTTACAAAATAAATTTCAAAGTACACATTTGTACTAATAAATTAATAGCATCTGCAGTAGAGAAGTCTTCTACAATAACTAAAATTTGAAGAAAAGAACTAGCCAATGTGAGGCTTGATTGTAACAGGGATAAAAAATAATTTACATAATTTCACATTAAATGAACATAAGTATTGCTTGATGATTCATGTTGCCACCCTCATCGTGCTTGATCTTCATGCATCCAAGAATAATGAAGCACTCTCGGTAATCACTATACTGAAATAATAAAATAACATGATCATGTGAGAAACTTATATTTTAATTATCAAAATATAGACTGATTTAGACTCATTTACAGTTAGTAATTGAAAAAATTCAATAAATTATGGAATAAGAAAAAACTTAGCCATGAATAAAGGTGGAAAAAAATCTAAACTTTTTTCCAACACAGAAGACAAAATAAAAAGCATTGAAATAAACATCATAAAGCTTAATTAAGGAGACGAAAAAAAGAAGTAAAACTTACAGTTTGACATTAGAAGAGATTCAAATTTTTCAAAGGTACTTTTCTCTTGAGCACCCTATAAATCAAAAATAAACAATTGAATCAGAAACCCAAGTCAATTAGGTGTAAGGCACAAAACCTATTAAATCTTCAAAATCGCACTCATTATTTATAAAAAAAAATAAGGCATAATATCTATCAAATTGCTGGAATAACTCGTAAATTGAACTTAAAATCCCAAACCCAAATAGGTGTAAGAAGATTCAAAAACCCTACCATATAGAAGCGACAAACAGACAAGTTAAATTTTTTGTCTACAAATGAGAAGCAGTGTAGATCGATACCCTCTTTCTCTTCTTTGTTCTTGCAGCTTTAAATTAACGCCACTACTATGGAGGAAAGGAATAATAAAATGGAGAGGAAGAGTGGCGGCCGAGAGTTTTGATTTTGGTTTGGAGGTTTAGGTTTAAGTCATACCTATTCTTATATTTTTAGCTTTATTTACTTCTTAATATAAATACTATAGATACAATAACAAAATTCAAATACCATAAATTCAAATATAAGTAAGAAAATTACATATAAACAAAAGAATAAATATGTTAAATTTAAATAAATAAATAAAAGAAATCAACTATTCACATGAAATAAAGATATTCTAAAATATATTTTTCTTATAGCTTTTTCATCTTATATGATATTGTTAGTTTTGCTATATGTTCATATTTCAATAATATTAGCTTCTTAATTTTTAGTGTTAAGTTAGGGTTATGATAATTATTAAGTTATTAAAATAGTATTAGATTACTAAATTAATAACTTTTCTACTTATCTAAATTGAATATAACTAGTAATCAATGTAGACAGATACAAGCACATAATTGTTTAAATCTGACATATAATATATTTAAGTTTGACTAACTATAATTATATACTTATTTTAATTAGTTTTGAAACTTTAAAGTAATACTTTTTTTAATATGAATTATTATATTTATTATTTACCAAAAAATAATTCATTACTTTATACTAGCTTGGTTTCTTATACTCCCCTATATCAGTCATATTAAGTTCTTAAATTTTTTTACAAAAATAAACTTAATAATAGTGAAAGTCTGTAACTATCTTTAAATACAAATAATACTAAAAAATAAGTATAATAATAGTGAAAACATGTAACTATTCTTAAATACAAATAATACTCAAAAGAGAGACAAGATATCTCTCAAGTATAAGAATGATATTACAATTTTGATATTTAGATTTGGCATATATTTTGATTTATGATAATAGTTAAGATTGTAAAAACATTATCATGACGTATTTTATCGTCTAGAAAAAAAATATATAATTTATTTAAATCCCAGTAGTTAGTTATTCACACCTTAATTAGATATAATTAAATATTTTTAATAAAATTAGAACTTACAACTAAAACTGATTTAATCAGAATAACAATATAATTAATTTTTGTATGGACTTAGATATCTTATTGTTACTAGATATAAATAATTATATAAAGTTAACACAGATAATAATGTTATTGATAAAGATCATATTTTTTAAATTTAATTTTTTTATCATATATTAGGGCAAAAATTAGCAATATATTTTATTTTTCATTGCAAAACTTATTATTTCAATATAAACTTTTTAATTAGTGATGAAACCATAAATTTATTGTAAATCGATGATTATGTAGCTACGAAATGTCATTTTTTATTAAGATTATTATTATTTTCTTGTAGTGTTAAATATGTTTCTTGTATATAATTGGAGCCTTTGGTCATTTATGAAAACTAAATGTACCAACCCTCCCCCAACAAAGCTTTTCATTATATGAGCACTTATATATATATATATATATATATATATATATGTGATTTCAAAAAATTATTAAGGTCCATATACATAAATATTGAAGTCTTCAATATGAATACTTTTTTGAAGTAAATAAGTACACTTATTTAAAAGTAATAGAGTATGTGACATACATAAATATCCACAAATTAATAATAATTCANATATATATATATATATATATATATATATATATATATATATATATATATATATATATATATATATATATATATGTGATTTCAAAATTATTAAGGACCATATACATAAATATCACTACAACAATTAAAGTCTTCAATATGAATACGTTTTTGAAGTAAATAAGTACAATCATTTAAAAGTAATAGAGTATATGACATACATCAATGTCCACAAATTAATAATAATTTAAATTTTACATAAAAAATATATAACTAATAACAACTGCAATAAAATAAAATATGAGTTTGATAAGTCCAAAAAGTCAATTGATAAGTTTTGTTGCTATAAACAGGTAAACAAATGATATATTATTTGAGAATGAAGATTAATTGCATTTTTAAACAATTATTTAATCTCATATACAATTACTATTTTCTTCCTTAATGATATACAATACTATTTTTCTATATTATAAGAAAAATACAACTATTACATTTCACACTAATATTTTATTACCTAATAGTGTTAGACAACTCTTGTCATGATTTTCATTATCAAGCAAAAATATTCATCATTTTTGTCATGGCAACCATTTTTTTTAAGCCAACTATTTTCTTTTTCTTTCTAGTTGAAGCAAAAATTATTTAGCTACTAGATTTTATTTCGAATAATTTCATAAGCCTTTAAGGTTATTATTATTAAAGCAAGTTTCAACTTGTGGCAAAAGCTAATGATTAGCTACGAAATTTTATCAGAGCAATAAATTTGTGGCTAGATCAGTCTGTAATGAAAAATAATTATAGTTATTAAGCCAATTATTGCCCTGTTTTTTAGAACTTGAAGCAAAAATATTTATCTAGCTACAATATTTCATTTTAAATAATTTATTATGGTTAAAAAGTTATTTTTGCTACAATAACTTTCAGTTTATAGCAAAAACTAACAATAAGCTACAATATTTTGTCATAACAATAAATCCTTGGCTATATCATTTACCTATCTCCACAGTTTTTTATAACTTGAAGCAAATGTATTCCTTTAGCTACAATATTTTCTTTCAAATAATTTATTGTGGCTAAAAGGTTACTATTGCTACAATAACTTTTAATGCGTGGCTAAAATATATGAATTAGCTATGCAATTTTATTGTAGCAATAAATTTGTAGCTATTTAGGCAGTTATTGCTACGATTGTTAGCAATTATAGCAAAAATAAGGAATTAGCTTTACCAATTTAATTTTCGTGGCTAGCAAATTTTACGAATTCGTAAATAGCTAGAAAATTCTAATTTCTGTAACTATTGTTAGGTATTAGCCACGATTTTTAAATTCGTAGTTGAGGTTTCGTAGCTATAAATACCTTATGTTGTAGTGAGTGGAGCTTACGACGATGTAGAAGGGGCAAGTACTAATGGTACAATTGATAGAGAAATGAATTTGGGAAAAATAAGAAAGGAAACAAATGCCAACAATTTTGAAAAGGGTGATGACAAAGAAGAAGATGAGTTAAGGAAAAGGATTGAAGAATTCATTGAGAAGGTCAATAGGGGTTGGAGGGCAGAGAAGTTGGGAATATGTTATCAAAGTCAATCAACTGTATGATTCGTTAGTTTGTAGGTTGAGCATTAGCCCGTCTATGAAACAAGAAAATTGTACTAGAAATTGAAGAAAAAAAAAATGTATGTAGTAGCTGTTATAAAACTGTAATATGATGGACAATTTTGTACAACCAATGTTATATTATTTCTTTTCTTTATTTGTTTCTTTTTGAATTTCAAGTCTCAAATTGTAGCCTATAATGGAAAAATAGAAGTTGACAAGAAAGCAATTATTATTAGAAATATTGAAAAAAATAATTTCAAGGAAATAGCAATTTGGACTTTACAGTTCCAAACTTGCATACCGTAATTCTTGGCTCTCCATCTCTATTTGCGAGCCATTTCCACTTATGTGATTCTGGCGTAGTGATATTCAGAATCTTCTATGTCAATCGGTCCAGGCCTTGAACCCGTGATGATTCCCAGCAAGTAACTAAAACAAAGAAATTAAAATGTCGGCTAAGGGAAAGTTTTTTTTTTTTCATGAAGAAAAGAAACAAATATACGAAGACTTACGAATAAGGTTCCATGATTCGGGAAAAGCTGATGCTATGGCAGGGATGATGTCCCTGGTAGTAAATGACAACGAATTGTTCCATCTATCCACAGTCGTTCTCGTCATCAACACTGGTGAGAAGGGCGTGGTGGCCCCGCTTGCTGAGGTTCAACACTCCCCCATGGAAGATCTTTGGGGAGTAAAGATTCATCATATGCGCAAGGATTAGGGTTTCCCCAATTTCAGCACATAGTTGGCGAAGGCAGGCTACCGTATGCCATATGGATGGGCCTACTGCCAAACAAACTTGGTACCGATGGCAAAATTCTACAATTATTGGGTAAATTCTTTCACCCGCTCCCAAGGTGAAAGATCCAAAGTAAAAGGATACGTGTAGACATACATGAACCTCAGCTTCGAGTAGGTAACTCGTTCTACCGCGTTAGGGGTAAGAGTTTCGACGTTACCCCAATTGCGCTCCTCCTTCACAACAGGGATGTTAGAAGGGAGAATAGAGGAAGGGTATTTGTGAACATGCCAAACCTGTCACTTTTAGAGCTTGTAGGTGGTTTGTGTTCTTGGAGATCAGACGCCGTGCTAAGATGAAGTAGTATGATGGTGTTTACGATTGGAGGTTCTGACCGGCGTCAACCTCTTTGGTTTTGTTTTTCTTTGGACCTCCGCTGAGGAGAAGGCTAGAGTTACCGGAAATAGCACTATTACAAGACATGTTTATGAGGAAGAAATTTTTACTAAGAAGGTTGAGCTTTGCAGAAAAGCTCGAAGAAGAAGAAGAAGGAGTTGTGAAAATAATGAAAGTAAAGAAGTAAAAATGATGAGTTGCGGAGAAGTTATAGACGACAAAAATCGTAGTTATGATTACCTCGAAATCGACGAAAATACTTGCTGAGTCACGGAGCAACACGTGTTCGGGTTATTAAATGGGAGACGACGTGCGTCCTTGTCAGAGGCTGTTCAGGAACTTTCCCGCCAAGAAAAGAACTCTTATCTACTTTCCGATAATGCAGAGTTGTGTCAACGAAAAGTAGGGGGACTATCGGCATGGGGCAAGATTGGGTGATAACAATTGGCCGAATGGTAAAGTGACACGTGGAACCGAAGACAAGTAAAATGTGAGTTAGCAAATAGCTGGCACCGAATGCGAAGTGTGCGACCGGTGCTTGGAGGATCCCGAAGGAGGTATGATGAAAATAAAGATCCAACCTCGGATAACATTTAATGAGCGTCCTGTTAGAGAGGATATCAACAACCAAAGCTAGTCGTTATGCACCCATCAATGGTGATTTTATTCTCATTCGAGAGGAGCTTGATTTAGGATCTTGTCACCCTAAGCAA